GATTTGGGTTTTATGGTGTAGCATTTCTTGAACTCTTTAGTTTTCTCTTTAGGTTGAGCATATTATAAGGGAAGAGAAGATGATGGCTGCTCAAGAAATCCTTGAGCTCTTCTGTGAGCTCATTGCTGTTCGTCTTCCAATTATTGAGGCTCAAAGGTTATAACTTTTTCAAATCTTTTCTTCATTTGCTCTGCCAATAAAAGGAATTCTGAATTTTAAAGTAGTCTTTGTCTTGCATTTTATAAGTTTTCTTAGACTAGAGTTTGAAATTCTTTTGTCAGACATGGAATGTTCTTTATGTGTTTCTGAGTCTTGTGTTCTGAATCCGTCTTGTTTAATTTTTTTGTAGGGAATGTCCGCTAGATTTAAAAGAAGCAATATCAAGTGTATGTTTTGCTGCGCCGAGGTGCTCTGACTTGATAGAGTTGCAGCAGGTCCAGATGCTATTTGTTTCCAAGTATGGAAAGGAATTTGTTGCAGCTGCATCTGAGCTCAAGCCGGATTCTGGTGTCAATCGTAAGGTAAGTCGGAGTTCATTGGTGGGGGAAAAAAAAATATATAGCTTGCTAATATGTAGAAACTCACACAGATTGATGATCACAGCAGAAAACAAATCTATTTGAGTACTTAACTTAAGTATCTGTAAATCCTTAGGAGTATACGTCCATTTGTAAACTGAATCGCTAGCAACCATTACGTGGTTCAGTCTAGTTGGAACAAGAACATTGTTCATGTTTTTTTCATATTTTTCCAAATCAATTTTACAGTTGGTGGAGTTGCTGTCTGTGCGCCCACCTTCCCCGGAAACTAAACTGAAACTTCTTAAGGAAATTGCTGAAGAACATGAACTTGATTGGGACCCTGCTTCTACAGAAACTGATCTCTTCAAATCGCATGAAGATCTTCTTGTCAGTACTTCTCTCTTCGTATCTTTTATTATCTATTCTCTGCCTGCGTTCTCCAAATTGCATAAGATCTCCTTTGTGAATGTTTGCATCAAACCTAGTATGTAGCGTTAAGCACCAAATCTGCAGTTGAATGCATTTAATTTTTCGTGAAATTCACTTAAATATGTTTGAAGTTGGGTGTGCATAATAATGATACTCCCATGGGTTTTTCTATGTCAAAGGTCTTTTTCACTTCTCGGACTTGAGTTTTGTCCAGATATCCGCGGTCTTGAGTTTCTTTTCGCCCCAGTCTCTCTGTTTTTCCTAAATTGTCTTCTTTCTTTTCAGGATGGACCAAAGCAATTTGGTGGGGGCTCTAAGCTGCCACTACCGGAGGAGCAAGATGAAGGGCCAAGATTGTCATCTCTTTCAGCTCCAAAGGATCAATCTGATTCTGACTCAGAGTACGAAAAACTGGACTTTCCTGAGGTTCCAACTGTCTTGCTGCGGCCACCACCTGGCCATACCTCTGAAAATGCACCGGAGGCAGCAAAATCTGCCAGTTATGAACATGCATCTCTCAACTTGCCCGTTGAGTCAGAGACTGCAAGAAACGTAAAACCAGCTTCCAAAAGAGACGGACACCCTGTTAAAGCAAGCAGCATTGTCATGAACAGCCTAGAAAAGCAAGACATACAACAATCTTCACCCGTTGGTTCTTCGCAGTACGTGACGGAATCTGATTCCGTGAAACACAATGATTATTCTCCTCCATCCGCTGGTGTAGTAGGATCCTTCTCTTCAAACGAGAGTGGTGCTTCGACGGATGCCCCAAGGAAAATATCTGATGTGGACCTGCAGGATGTCCTAATGGCTGCTCAAGCTGCTGCTGATTCTGCAGAACGTGCAGCAGCAGCCGCTCGTTCCGCTGCAAGTCTTGCACAACTCAGAATCAATGAGCTTACAAAAAAGACGTCTGATCAGTCTCCAGAGAGTCCATCTGAGAACCCTTTCCATGCTCCCTCATTGGGAAAACCACAATTTGATCATCAGTATTCTTCGGTCAGCAGCTGCGGAGATCTTACAGAGCCGCATAGGGAAGAGAGTTCATCACTTTTCAGCCATGAGTGGAACAACCGCCACTCACAAAGACTCCCTTCAATGGAAAAACCGCAGTTTGATCATCAGAGTTCTTCGGTCAGCAGCTATGGAGATCTTACAGAGCTCCAAAGGGAAGAGACTTCGTCATTTTTCAGCCATGAGCAGAATCACCAACAACAAAGACTCCCTTCAATGGAAAAACCATGGTTTGATCATCAGAACTCGTCAGTCAGTAGCTATGGCGATCTTACAGATCTCCAGAGACCAGAGAACTTATCATTTGACCGACTCAGCCCTGACCAGGACCACCAACAAATGAGACTACCTTCCAAGGAAGATGATCCCTATTACTCATACCCTAATCTGTTCACATCTCAGAATCCAGATCGCTCATCAGGCTCTCATTCATTCTCAGACAACAAAACCTAGCCATGATTCTTGACTCTTACATGCAAATGTTATAATGGTTGCTTGGTGTTTTTCAGTGTGTTTCACTTTTGATGTTCCGTATATTATGGAACAAAGAGCTCAAAACGTTTCTTGAACAGCCTTTTCTTCCTCTTTATTCAGTGGAAGACATGTGTAATGTATAGAACTTGGTGTGAGTGATTTTATGTTCAAATAAAGGCCTTGGTTTTCGTAAGAAGAGTGCTGATTTTTAATGCCAGCATCTGCGATTGACGTTTGGTTGTCTACAAATGTACACACCCCAAACGCAATGTTAAACCGCTAACGCTTAACAACCTAACATTGAAACTACCTTTTTTCCATCAAAGAGATTAAAAGAATATACAGAGAAGTGGTTTTTTTCTCTGTTCTTTCTCGTTTCTGTTAGACAAATTACAAGGGCTTTATCTCGGACCAGACAACTCAACAGCATGAAGATTATCCGTTGAATCAAGGATCCAATCGGACGTGGGATGAGAGGAAAGCTCCATTTCTTGCCTGAGAACTTCAACTTTCTGCCACTCGTCCCATTTCTCAGCCAACCCATCGCCTTCAAGCATTCGAACAACCTCAGACATTTTGGGTCGTTCCATAGGTGAGCCCTGTGTGCAGAGAAGAGCCACTTGTATTAGCTGTTCTACTTCTGCTCCTGTGTAATTGCTCTGCAGATCAGGATCCACAAGCATCTCCAGTTTCTTCTCCTTCAAAAGTCCTTTCACCTGAGAAGATCAAATGAACAAAGATTAGCTTTGAAGGTAGACCATAATACCCAAATGTGTTCAGAGATCTGTGTTTATACCCAATCTAGAAGCATAACGTCATCGTCATTCGCCAGTCTTGCAAGATCAAACGCTCTCTGACCTGTAATCAGTTCCAAAAGCATGATCCCATAGCCAAAAACATCAGTTTTCTCTGAAGATTTTCCGGTTGATAGATACTCGGGAGCAATGTGCCCAATGGTTCCGCGCACAGCCGTTGTGACATGTGTGTCTTTGTAATCCATCAGTTTAGCCAAACCGAAATCGCCTACAACAGCCTCAAATTCCTCATCCAACAGAATATTAGCAGCTTTCACATCACGGTGAATGATTTTGGGATCACAATGATCATGAAGATAAGACAAACCCCTTGCTGATCCTAAAGCAATCCGCTGTCTTGTTGGCCAGTCTAGAGGCAACTGTGATGGTGGACGTTCTGCAATCATTTCAGGACAGCTCACTCATTTGTGTCCGAAAAATAAATATGGTTCTACATAAAAGTTATCACAAACTAGCACCACGAAAAATATATTATCAAAGTGTAGCAAAATGACACAAACCGTTAAAATTCTAGGGTTACCTCTCAAGCAGGAAGCAACGCTTCCGTTAGCCATGTAAGGGTAGACAAGCAATCTCTCAGTAGGGGTCATACAGAAACCGCGTAGCCTGAGAAGATTTCTGTGAACGGCCATGCTTATCATCTCCACTTCTGTCTGAAACTGGAGCTCACCACCTGGTGTGCGCTCTTCTTTAAGCCGTTTGACTGCGACAAGTGTTCCATCAGCAAGACGGCCTTTGTAGACTTTACCAAACCCACCTCGGCCCAAGATGTTCTTGTTGCTGAAACTATCGGTTGCTACTTGAAGTTCCCGAAGAGAGAACCGCTTAAGCTGCCCCAAGTGAACCTCAGGGTCCTCTTCCGCTGATCATAAAACCAAAATTTAAGAATTACATGTTAAACCTTTTTTCCAATGAAACAAAAGCTTGGTTCTTGCAGATGCATTAACTGACCAGGGACATCAAAGAAGTATTCTTGAGGTTTCCTCCTACGCCACCAAGCAAAAGCTAAT